TGAGAAGAATACACTGTGTACCTTGAAGAGCTTACTTTACCATTTCGGCGAATGCCTCGCCAGAAATCATCCCGAGTTCGGCAAAGCTTTGAATGTCAATGCTTGCAGATCTCCAGGTCAAGGGGGGGGGGTTTCCAAGTACCCAGGCAGCTGGAGCATGAAGTTTGGCAGCTGCTCCGGGACTCCCACGCTGCGATGGGCCCAGATGCTGCGAGGCACAGTCGTTTCAGGTTCATCGGCGCCGGGTCCGTCAATGGGTGGTGCTGCTAGAGAGCGGCTGTATTTCCAGCACCTCCATGTCCTGTGCGATCTGGTGTTTTGCAGTGTAACTTTGGAAGCTGTCCGGTGTTTCGTGTTTTTGTGTGGCACTGGCGTGAAAGATCTTGGGGCGCCAAGTCCGGACCCTGCAAGGCACGTTCCGGCTCTGCCGCGGGTATTCCTTCCACAGGAGGCAGGGGTGGGTTGGCGCATCTCCAAGCCAGGTTCAAGCTGAGACCTTGGAGACAATTGAGACTTAGTGAAGCCTTAGTGTCTTCACCCTGCCCCTGCTCTTGAAATCCGAAAGCCGGGATCCTCAGGAGGGCGCGCGAGCGAGATTAGCGCCCATCGCCGAGGTCGTAGCGGCAGCGGAGGCAAGCTTTGTGGCACAATATGCCTTTGCAAGGAGTTCAAGCGTGACAACACCAACGTGGGGGGTGCAGCCCCGAAAGATCAGGACATGAACATCTCCGGCCCAAGTCCCCATGCTGACCCGAGCATGGAATCAAAACGGCATTACCTATATTATAATAAGACTTGTTTGAACAACCGCAGCTGATCCCCGAAAGCGACCAACACATGTATCACGCGCAGTAAGCCATGTGACCAGTAGGGAGGTAACCCTGCAGGTACACCGTCGATTGACCCTTGCCAGCACCGAGCAAAGCTACGAACTCAACGAGATGGTCGACCTGTGCAACAGCAGCGGCGCTGCATTTGTGCCGTCAAGACCGTGAAGCCCAAACAGTTCTGGAGATCCCAGGGCAGATCCGGAGAGGTCACGACCCCATTGAGAAAGGCCACAGAAGCTAAGAAATCTAAGAACCTGCCGATTGCTTCGTTCGTTTTTGCAAGCCAAAGGCAAGATTGCCGAGAAGGACGACAGCATCGCCGCCCTGCTCGAGGACCCCCAAAACACAAAACGCAAGCAGCGCCCAGCTGCGCAAGCAGCGAAGCAGACGGACTCTAAAGGTTTTGTGGCCGCGTGACGGTTTGTGACTCCGAGCCAGGGAAGCCCCTGACAAAGCGAGAAACAAGTTGTGGCCTAGTGGTGGGGGGGTATGTTCGTCCTCATGGTACTCGCACACACGAGACATGGTGTGATATGGTGTGTTCGCGCCGTTCACGCTTGCGGATAATGCCTCCCATCCGAGCACTGTGAGGAGAACATCGGCGAGATTGCCGCCAAGATTGGTCAGACTCAGCAGGAGATTTCGGTACAGTTTGGTAAAGCCTTGGACCGTGGAGGCACCCCATTGAACAGAGGGTAAGGGTGACCATCTATAAAGCACCGATGCATGCATCACCAACCTCCCCCTTCGTGCCCCCCCCAACAAAGAAAGAACGCCCTAACCAGGAGCAGAAGCCTGTGTCATGGCAGACAATCTTGCTGATGATTGCAGAGTGCCGTGAGAGGCGCTAGCTGCAGCTTCTGGGGGGGGGGGGGGGGGGAGTAGCGGCTTACTTTTGAGGATTGATGGACTCAGAGGACCAGCATCCCACTCTGAACCCGCAGACCCGAAGCTTTAATGAATGAAATGCTGCGTGGACACCCTGTGCATAGGGTGTACTGTCGAGGGCGTTCGTGGTTGTGGAGAGACTGGCCAGGCTGGAAAAGGCCGCCGTGGCAAAAGAAGCAAGACTCCTCGATCTCAAAACGTGTTTGGGGTCTCGGGATATGGGTTTCCGTACTTGCGGCACTGTCGGGGTTGAGGTGTCAGATGTCTGAGTCGGCCTGAGCATTTGGACCTTTGCTTGCCCAATGTGGCTGCACTGCCTTCTGGATGGGGGATAGATTTTGTGTGTGTGTGTGTGTGTCTCTGTGTGGTGTGTGTATCTGCGTATGTGTGTCTGTGTGTCTGTCTGTCTGTGTGTCTGTCTGTCTGTCTGTCTGTCTGCATGTATGTATGTATGTACGTATGTATGTATGTATGTATGTATGTATGTATGAAAAATTGTATGATTGTATGATTGTGTATGTACGAAAATTGTATGTATGATTATGTATGATTGTATGTATGTGTGAGTATGCTTGTCTGTGTGTGTGTGTGTATGTATGTATGTATGCATGCATGCATGCATGGATGGATGGATGTATGTATGTATGTATGTATGTATGTATGTATAATGTATGTATGTATGTATGTATGTATGTATGTATGTATGTATGTATGTATGTATGTATGTATGTATGTATGTTACATTGTATGTTGCATTGCATGTATGATTATGTACGGTTATGTATGTGTGATTATGTATGTATGCATGTATGCATGCATGTACGTATGTATGTACATGTGAGCCGAGGAAACCAAGCAAATGCTGCAAATGCGGCAACTGTTGCAAATGCTGCTTGGTTGCCACTGGAACTGTTGCCGATGTGATGCTTGATGCTTGAAACACGAGCACAAAGCTTCTGGTGGCCCTCAAGAGCCACGGTCCTACAGTACCAGTAGCTACTTGCTGAAACAAGGGCAGTAACTTTGTGCCCCAAACCGCAGCCCGTCAGTCTGAAAGCTCGCAGAGAAGCCACCCAGGCATCGAGGTTCATGTAGCCGAGCCTTTGCCGTCGGAGACTGGGCACCAGCTGATGCACCTGGGAGCCTAGCTTGTAGCTGTTGTAGCTGTTGTAGCTGCATTGTAGCTGTTGTAGCTCGTTCAACTATTTTAAAAGGAACGACGCAGTGGGACTCGAAAGCTCGAAAGCCCCAAGAAGTTTGTCCAGCGTTGCTGTCTCACATGGATGCTGGCGGTCGCATTTTGATTGCCGGGCTCCGAGAAAAAGTCACCCTAAGCTTCGCGTCGCAAGGGGCTGAGAGGTTCGAGGGCTTTGAGGAAACTCAACCGGCCGGAAGTCCAGTAGAAGGGCAACACAGGTTCGACACAATGCATGATGGTAGCCCAACCCACAAGCAACAACTCCGAACCCACAAGCATCTTCAACTCACATCACGATCAAGCCCAGCAGCCCTGGATAACTGCAGACTCGAAGTGTCCCACACGACCCGAAGCCACAGCAACCTCTGTCCCTACACCTCCTGCGTGTCCAATTCGAGCCTGACATGAAGCTCCGAGCCCCTGGGACGGCTGTGGATTCAGCCGTCCCAGGGGTGCTGCTGCGGCTCGGGCTTGAGTTATGGCGGAGGCGTTGAATTCCCTTGTTTTGGTGTTGGCATGTTGCAAGCTGCTTAAGCTACTTGCCTGACAGAGGAAGATGTTCAGGGTTCAGGCAGGCCGCTTGCCGAATCCGCCTTCCCGCGAGCGACAAACCCCTCAAAAACAATGGCCCTCAAAATCCGAACAGCAGCCTTGAGAGAAGCAAAAAGCCAGGAAAGGGCCTTTCCCCATCAGCGCCATCGATGTTCGAAGGATTCCGGGCTTGAGGCCGGGGAGAATTTGGGGGGGATACTTGGGGATGTCACCTGGGTTCATCTTGCAGCGTCGTTGTGGCGCAGTTTGGCTGCTCAGCCTTCAGTCGGGAAAATTCTCCACATCTGTCGAGAGGGCCTAGAAAGCCACAGCGCGCTAGCATGAAATTTTGCAGATCGATAAAGCTGCTACTCCCCGCAAATAGTAATTACTCTCAGGAGTTTTTGCGTTCTGGAGAACATGAACACTGAGGATACAGAAGAAGTCCAAGCAACACATTTCACGAAAGCCTACCATGCGAGCTGAGGCAGTATGATGAAGAAGTGGAATCAAATGTTGAGGACTGCATGGAATCTCGTTCTGCTTGTGCTCCCCGGAAGGCCTTCTTGGGTTTCCCACGTGGGCAGCTGTTTAAGGGACACACACCCCCCCCCCCCAGGGACGCTGGTGCTCATCTGCGCGCAGGGCTGCGGAAGTTGTTGGGGAAGTTCATGTACCCAAGTACCTCATACAGGCCCAGGGCCGCGCCCTGGGAAGTCCATCGTCCGGTGTTGGGGCTTAGGGTGCTAAATTGGGTGCTGCTCTGGTTGCCTCGGTGCCCCAACAATGGCTTCAGTCGGGCAGCATGGGTCCGGAGCCAATATGCAAGAAGCAAGATTCCTCGCGGACTTGTGGGGGAATCCGTGTTCCCAATTACCAAGCTTCAAACGCCAGAGTTTTTAGTTGGGTACGGAACATTGTTCGCTCGGAATCTCGGGTCTTGGCCCTGCGCAAGAATCAAGCAGTTGCTTTTTTCCACTGGTGTTCCATCTCTCAACATTGGTGGGGCGGCGGTCCGGGGCCCGGAAGCCTTCCCAGGACTTCCGCACGAATCTTGATTCTTCTCGATTCTTTTTCAAGGCTCTGTCTTGTTTAACCTCTGAGTTTGGGAAGACCAATCGAAGAATCGAGACAGGGGGGGCAGCACTGTAGAGTTATAACCGCAATACCGGTACTGCCACCGGTGCATTTCTTATTTGTTCTTGGGAGGACCACTGGCAGGCGGCACGGCGCGAGAAGCCGCAGCTTTTCGACGGTGTGGTGTGGTGCCTCGTGTCTTACAAGGCACTGGGATTTCTCAGTATGCAGAGCTGCTTCAGTCTAACTTGCAGTTATTCAAGTTGCTAGCCTCTCTAACAGCTGCAATATCATGAGCCTGCAAGCTCGGGGTGACGAGGGACAGCCTTGAACTTTGCCCAGATTCCATGTGACATCAAAAGATCCCTCAGATGGTTCTTGCTGTGAACAATGGGGGGGCCGTTCACGAAGTTCGCCAACCAGTGGAGTGTCATTCCATGTGCTAACCTGCTATTCCTTCAGCCTTGCAGGTATACATGGCAGAGGTGGGCCCACACCTTCTCTTGGACATGCAGGACTGTTAGACTGTTTGGCTTCCTGCACAGCTTCCACTCAGAAACTAGGTTCTTTCTTTGGGGATGAGAAAGGAGACAAGCTTCAAGTATGTGATCTACACGCACCTCTCAGATGCCGGGAAGCAAATGGCGGCTGGCAGGCCGGGGCAGAGGCTCTACATGCGTCTTGTAAAAACGGCACGTAAGACTGACGAATGTGCCGCGGCAACTTCCTCTTCCTGCCCGTGTGAGTGTGTGTGTGTGTGTGTGCGTGTGCGAAGGGCATGTCTCCATGTGCTTTTGACTCTTACACAACCACCTCATCTCACATGGCTTTAGCTTTCCATAGATGCCATAGATACCTGCACGGATGGATTTAATGCAACGAGCGAACAGAGAGGGGAGAGAGAGAGAGAGAAGGAGACTGTGCGGGAGCTTCGTGCCCTCAAGCCCCAAGAAAGAACGAAGGAAAGAAGAAAACAACAAAGAAAGACAGAATGAAAGAATGAAAGAAGAAAAGAATGAAAGAACGAAAGAATAAAAGAATAAAATAATGAAAGAATGAAATAATGAAAGAATTAAAGAATGAACAAGAGAAAGGCGAGGATCGCTTGAGCAGCGGCACTGGGTGCAGGGGAAGGAAGGAACGACGGACGGAAGGAAGGAAGGAAAGAAGGAAAAAAAGAAAGAGCCGTAGCCATTTTGGCCGCCCCCTGCATCGGGGCCTGAGCCCCCCCGCCACTTTTTCAAGTCGTGCCACACGCCTGCCCGAGTGTAAAGGGAAGACGGAGCTTGCGGGCGCTGTCCGCCTTGACAGCGTCTTCAGCACCTACTACCAGAGCCGCAGCACCGACACCCGAGTCGACTGGGGGGACACCTCCGACAAGGTTGCAGCACACGCCCGTTAAGCTGCGGCAAACCGCGTGCACGCCCGCGCCCGCATTTGGTCACCGGATTGGGCCTAACGGATTGCATCACGCCTAGCGTATCTATGGGGAGTTAGGTGTGTGAGCTGATGTAAGCGATGCGCGAAAGGGTACCTGAGGTTCTGGTCGATAGTACTCGTATCGCTATGGACCTCTTGACTCGTCCCACTGTTCCCACGTATGGACTCGACTAGTCCGCGCGGACTGGCGCCTTGGCACTTAGCAGTCAGTCGGGTTGCAAGAAAGCAATCAGACAACATTCTATATTTCCTGAGGAGAGTAGAGGAAGAGTCGATGAAGAGGAAGCGGACAGGAGGAGGAGGAGGAGGAGGAGGAGGAGGAGGAGGAGGAGGAGGAGGAGGAGGAGGAGGGACGAGCAGAGGAAGGGGAGTGCGATCTCGAGCCTAGCAGTGTGCGTGGCACGGGTTGTTCTTGCATGCGGAGGGGTGCCTCTGGACTTCAAGGACAATTTCCACTCGTTCAAGGCTTGAAATCGCATGCGGTGCAAAGCTGCTGGATGTGAAATTTGCGTGTTGAAATTTGAAAAAATTGAAAAATCTGGGTCCGGGCAAAGTTTTACAGAGAGAGGGCCTTCCGAAATTCTTAAAACCTTAAATCGTGGATGTCTATGAGCACGGCAGGTTTCAGAGCACGGAAATGGTTTCTAGTACATCTACAGCATTGACATGTACATAGTAGTGACTTCTCAGGTTTACAACCCACCATAGCCGATCCCTCGGTGACAGAATCGAAGCTTCGCCAGGCGTTCAGGAGCCTGCGGTCTCATGGCCCTCACGGAGACTTCGGATGGGCTGTTGGTTTTCGGCTCCTCCGCCTGCAACAGAGGCTGAGGAGGCTGGGGTCAATGAGATTTTAGGCCCTTATTACCCAGACAGGCATTGCTTGCTCGAGTATTTTGGGGACGGTTCCCCTCCATCTTCTTGGTACACCATGGATCCTGAGGTCAGCGCTCGCAGTACGTTGGAGCCTTTCCGGGCTACTTCCACTGCGTGCCGGCAGGGGTCGTGGATGCGCCGGATCTCTTGCACATTGTGCAGAAGGATGGGGGGGCTGTGTAGGGTGCACTTAGGTGCACTTAGCTGCAAAGAAGATCTTTCTAGGTTATGACTGGAAGAAGCCCCTGGCAATGACTGTGGTCAGCTAGTTGGTCGATAAGGAAAGCACGAAGGGGGACGTCATTGACGATTTTCACTTAGGGGGATTGCAAGAAGTCCCACACCTGGCCTGTTCAGGGTGGCCCTGTCCCGATCCACTTCGCGGTTTGCGTTTGGGGGGAACCGCCGTGTAGTTCGAGCTGAGACCATGGGCCTCCATTGGCCCAAGAAGGAGCTCGATGAAGAGGCCGGCGTGGACTGGTCCGGCGTTTGCAGATGCGACTTCTTTGCCTTGCTGGACACCGGGGCCGAACAGGGCCACAAGCACCTGAGATGCACTGCGAGGGTTACTACGTTGGCAGGTCATGAGTGAAGGCCGCCGAACAGGTCAAGCAGAGACTCATGCCGAAGGGCGGGAAATGATGCGTCGAATTCAGTGCCAATGTTGTGACTCAGAACTGCTGGAGTTGGGGCATGGCGACCAGTCAGCTCAGGTACGAGTTTGTGTTGCACCTGCGTTTGGGGCTGTCCGCCAGTGAAGTGTTCAGGCCAGAGCCCCCGAAGTCTGAGATTCGTTTTTATCCAAAAGCCGGAGTGGCCCCCAACTCTGAGCCTCTCTTAAGCATCAGGTCGAATTTCTGAAAGCCCTAAACCTGCAAGCCCTCACGGAAGTAGGCTTTCGTATCCGGAGCTCAGGGAAACATACATGGCCGTTGAGGGCAGAAGGTTTGTGATTGCAAAGCCGTCAAGTCTGCGTGCGCAGGGCATATGTTCTGAAAAGTGGCGATTTCCAAGTGACACTGCTAATTTAAGCCTTCTGGAACTTGGAGTACGTCCTTCTGTTAGAAGAACCAGCTCAACAGGCGATACCAAAGCGCAACCGACAAGAAGGAGCACGAGGCCGGATAAGTGCCACGGTGCAAGAGGCGGGACTCAAAGCCTTACTGTAAGCACTCAACTCCATGTGTTGTGCCTGGGAGCGCAAAGCGAGTTCATTGTAAGGGCAGTACAGCACTTGGAGCACAATCGCCGACTTGCGAGGCCTTCCTGTTTCTATGGAATGGGTCCCAGACAGCAAGGGGTGAGGTGCCAAACGACCTTCCTGTTGTGGATGTGGCGGACTTCCTGCAGCTTGGCCCGGTTCTTTAATGTCACCATGTACACAAAACTACCAACAAGCTACAAGACTTTACAACAGCACAGCGATGCGCTGTTGGTGTTGGGGCTGCTGTTTGAAGCCCCATCGTCGAACAAGTTGCCGTTGTCATGAAGTTGCTACATGAATTTGCAGGTCGGGCGACTACCTCATCACCGACGTGGCCCGACGATCCTTACAGCTTTTTCAGGAGTCCGCAGGCTGCAGGACTTGA